TCTGGTTACAAGGCTAGCGAGCTCGTAGACCATTAAGCCACTGGGACCTGATCAAATAGGCTAATTTCTTCGGCGAGTATTTGTCCCAACACCCGACCTGCTGCACCCTACTGGTCATGACTTTCCACTAGAACCCAGGTAACTACGTACCTGGATAGGGCCAGTAGCTAGTGAGCATCTCATTGATATTCAAGTATTTCATCATGAGCTGACACAGGTTAGAGAAATCCTGTAACCAATCAATAAAATCCCTACAAATCAAGACTTGAAATCTTGAAGAAATTTACTCAGTGAATTTTTTTAAAAAGAACGCGTAATCTGTTTCATATCATCCTTCAGTAAAGTCGAGTGGGAAGGAGTTATGATTTTCAGATTAACATACGTGATCTTTATGATTTCTTAGAGTACTTTATCCTGCTAGTTATGTAAACAACATAAAACATTCTGTGTACTAAACGCTTATGCTAATGTTATACTGAAAAGCGTATAATCGTATCATGGCATCAATTACATCATACAGTATTGAATCGATCTGTCTACAGTGTCTGTACTGTGTGTGTGTTTTCTTTTGATTTGAATCATATTCACATTTCCATATGACAGACGGATGGATTAATAAAATGTCTACTTTCCCAAAATACATGACCTTATATAACTGCCCTGATTAAAAAGAAACATTATTCACAAAATAGGAAACAGTCATTCCCATATTAAATGAACGAAGGTCAAAATGTGAAATTTGATAACGTATCTATCAAAAACATTCGTTGTTCTACACTTTTATGCACACATATTAACACCTATCAAACTGGATTAGGATAAAATTGAAACCTGATGACGGGAGGTTAAGCCTTCTTATTTTTTTTAAATATTCCTTCACGTTCCCAGTGGGACATAGAGCTTCAAGCTAGAGGCTTGAAGTTTCTATAGCAGTGGTGTTTATTTTTTACGGGATAAGGTTGCTAGCCTCATGCCCAACCTTCCCTCCTTACCAGTCTTATTACTGGTTTAGCGAGGTTTGGGAGTGTGTCTGTGGCCGGGGATCGAACCCCGGACCACATGTGTGGTAGGCTGGCATTCTACCGCTATGCCACTGACGCACGTTAAGGCTTCTTATAAGCGCCTTTATAAGCTCACAGTATGTTTCAAAAATAATTTTTCTCTGATAGAAGATTTAATTTATCTGATAGGCTTTTAGGATAGAAAACCGTTAAGAAATTGATAAGGCATGAATACATACCTATAGGCCTATTTTATAGAAACTCATCGAGTCATGTTAGAATTCAGCTCAAACCTGATTGACAAAGCTTCCATTCTACAGAGACATTTTGTTGCTGCTTAACAATATTCATACCAAAATTATCTTAATATTTGAAATGTATGACTACTGTTTGTTCAAGACGTCCAGAAAATATTCCTGTGTGTGTGATAACAAATGTTGATTTCAAGTGTAACTAACATTCAGTTTTTTTCATTTGAATGTCTGTAGAAGGTTATCAGTCCCGTGAGAGGGAAGAAAAGTTAGTTTTAACACATTAAACAATGGTAGATATCACTTATTTTTTTCCTTCATGTTCCCCAGTGGAACATAGGGCTTCAAGCTAGTGACTTGAAGTTTCTGTAGCAGTGTTTATTTTACAGGATGCCCAACCTTTCCTCTTCACCAGCATTAATTCTGGCATAGCGAGGTAAAGGAGTGCGTCGGCCAGGGATCGAAACCCGGACCATGTGCATGGTCGGCGAGCGTCCTAACCGCTATGCCACCGACACACTAGTGAAGTCAATCTAGTATAAACTACCCAAGAATGGTAAAGCTTGATATAAAGTGTACTAGGATTCCTATAAATAATCAAAGATCAAGTGCACCAGTGACTTTTATTTTGACGGATATTAATTATAAAATTGAAATGATTAATTCCAACGTTTCGTTCGGCAATCTGGTCCGAACTTCTTCAAATATAATTTATAAATTGTGTTTTTAATTACTGAATCAGAAATAGTAGTGATTATTTTTTGTTATCACTTGATTCCACACGTATTTTTAAGTATGGATATCTATAGCCCAAATTTTTCAGGCCGACCATTGATGTCAGGTATGCGTTGGCAAAGGATGGAACTCCAGACCACGTGCATGGTCAGCGAGATTGCTAACCGCTGTGCCACCGACGCACAATTTATTGTGAAAAACCTACATTGGACAGATTACAGAATTTCCAGTGTATTTCATAGCAAGGTATTTACTCCATTATGGATAAGATTTTAATTTGATAAATCACACAGTGTTGTACAGTAATATTAACTGATGACCACGTTTAGAGCACAACTTATTACTGCTCATAATCATATCAAATCACTCACACAACTTTTTTGGCGTCATTCATATACACGAGTAAAACTGATGATTAGACATTTGAATAAAATCAATATAAGATAAGGTACATTCAGAAATAATAATATTAGTGTTATCAATCAAATACAATCAGATGGGAAATAAGATGTTTTTACAGTAAAAATAAGTAACTTGTTAGAATATTATAATGTGGATTGAAATAGAATTTTAAGATTATTTATTATCCTCCTCTGATTTGACTGGTAATAATATCTTCCATATTTCTGGTATTTGCGTTGAGTCAATTCTATTGCATGTGTTGGGTGTAGAATCGATGAACCAGGATTCAGTAATCAATCTCTATCTCCACCTACCTATACTACTTAGAATTTTAACCCCATCCCGCCCTATTGTGTGATTGTGTGTTAATGAATGCAGTGCTATTGCTGAGCTTTTTTCTAAATTACTTAGCTTTGTATGATCAATCATTCAAACCTTAGCTAAATACTTATGTTCTGACAATTTCACTAACCCCAATCTAGTAGCTTGACTTATGTAGTTGACCTAACTCACTGTCATTGCACAGTATTTTGTAAATTATATTATTTTGTTTAATTGGGTCCACTGAGTCCTTTAGCCCACAGAGCTTGCCTCTGAGTGACTTTGTAGGTTTAAATGCCAACCTAATTCCTGCTTTGTTGAGAATCCTACGTAGGGCCCCATATATTCTCTGCTTAAATGGTATAACAGTAGATGCCTTATATTCTTTCTTATTTTTTTTCATTATTATTTTCACCATTATTTTCATTTTGCTTTTGACCGTTTTTGATATTCCTAATGAATTTTATAGGATAGTTATTTAACACCACAGTGCCCAAGTTTTATACTTATATCAAGGTATTTACTCCTTATAGCGATAATACGTCATCAGAAGGAATATCGTCTTTCTCCTAATCATGTTCCAACACTACTCCACAATGCTGTTCCTCCATTGCCTTCAAAAAAGTCCTAACGATAGACAGGAACCTAATCAAAATTGTGCGCGAGTTTAGACTGATATCTCATTGTGGTAATAAGGTTATTAAAACGATATGAAACGGGATAAATACAATGTTTTATGGATAGAAAATTGAGGTAGTTCAATGATTTAAGCAGGTCGCCGTTTTGTTTTTATGACACAAAGGGAGGACCGTAAGGCTTCACCACTGACAAAAACTACACAACCCACCGAGATGCAATGGTGATCCTCCAACCAGGATCATGGCATTCTTGATCACCCTGAAGCCGGCGCTAGGTGATGTCTTATTTTAAAATAACTATTGAAATGGAAAACACTATATTTACAACATTCGTATTACTCGCTGATATTTAAAAAAATTGCAAAATATAAGCAGAACATCGCATAACTCATCAAATATATGAATAACTTTTCAAGTATTGGTTTTGTAGGGATTTGGCTTGATTGGACGGAGGATTTCATCATGAGCTGACATCAGTTAGAGAACTACTGTAAAACCTGGGAGTACTGGACAGCTACTGAAGAGTCCCAAACTAGGCTGACGAAACAGCTGTCTAGTAGTCCAAGCTAGTTTTCCAATGGTTCTCTAACTGATGTCAGCTTATGATGAAATCCTCCATCCAATATAAATAAGTTATGAAATAACAGAGAAGATTTGTAGCTCAGGTGGATGATTTGCAATTAATAGTGTTCTCTGAGCTGGTTGGTTTGGTTGCGGAGCAATTGACAAGCAATAATCCAATTACTCACAAACGAAACTGTGTGCAGACATTGTTTAAAAGAGTTCAAACACATTGTAGCACTCCAGAGTTGAAAAGAATGGAAGAAAAATACCTACAAACGGTCTTCAAAAAGAATGGTTATCCACAAAATTTCATCAAAAAGTGTTTAAGGTCGAATCAAAACACCAACAAAGAACCATCATCAAAGACCAGAAGAAAATTCATTCTACCATACTTGAAAAATATCTCTGAAATATCAGCTAGAATACTGAAACTGTTTGATATAGATATAGCACACAAGCCAGTCAAATCATTTAATTCAGGGATATTATGCAAACCGAAAGATCCAACAGAAAAGGGAGATAAAATTATTACCATTCACAAAAAAATTGTATGAACTGTAACAGGCATTACACCGGCCAAAGTGGGCGTCCCCTTCGAATTAGAATCCAAGAACACAAATCAGCCGTGAAAAGACATGATATATATTCTTTCGTATCAATGCATATAGACAATTATGGACACCAATTTGATTGGGATAATGTCGAAATCTTAGACAGAGAAAACACCAAAAGTGTCAGGGAATTCCTAAAAGCCTGGTACTCAAACGAAAATGCAATTAACAAACACGTTAATATAGACGAAATATACCAATTAATAAAAAGTAAAAGCAGGTGACCAGAAAGTTTAAAATCCAAGTCAATAGAAAATGGTCAATACATATGTAAAGATGGTTACCGGGAGACTCAATTATATCACTCATGAAGAAATTTAAATCATTTCACTTTATGCTAAATATTGCACTGCAGATGTTGTCCAGAAGGACGACGAAAGCTCCGCAACCAAACCAACCAGCTCAGAGAACACTATTAATTGCATAAATAAGTTATGTTAATCATTTTACACTGCAAAAGCAAAATTAACAACTTACTTGTACAATAAAATTGAACACCTTGCACCAGAATATACCAAATATCCAACTTTTCAAAAAGTATTGCATCACAGTTATTGGACTAGTCATTGTTAAATAGATTAAATCTGTGACAGCAAGCCCGACACAGAATGTTTCATATACCATACGTTTACGATTACATGTTAGAACACAAATCACCAGAACATTACCAATAATTCCAACTGTGACAATACAACACACTACACATACCATGATTATCACGGATATTTCAATATCAGGTCGTATAACAGAATGTGTTGTATCCAACTGAATATCTTTATATAGAGAATTGTCAGTTGAATCAGTGTAAACAGGTAACAGGACAATCAACATTAAGAGTAGTCGCATTGTTAAATTAAGCATATTCATATACATTTATATCTTTGTAAATAAAACATTACAAGTTAGACGGATATTGTGCGTCAGTGAAAATAATAATGGCGATGATGATTATGATAATAATAATAATGATAACAATAATATTAAAAGATATCCTAATGTACAATGATTCTAATTCTGTTTTGTACACAACAGTTTTATTGAAACTTATAAGTTTCTGTGGGGATTATTCTGCTCATTATCATTGTCATTATACAGACAAGTTATCTCTTCATTGTTATTACCACTATTATTATTATTACTGTTTTTACAACAAACCATTATTATAATAGGAATTCTTTTTTTATTTCTCTTTCTAACCAATCACCCATTGAAAAGTGTGGGGAAAAAATATCTACTATTATAAAAATTTGCAACTTGTTTCAAAATTTCATAATAGCGTGGATGTGATTGGTGGATTTTCACTCCCAGAATGGATGCACCAATCATGAGGGATTAGGGGAAAAACCTGTTAAAGGAAAAGAAATGTTAGCAGTATTAATAATAATAATGATAGTACTTGTAATAATATAAGTTTTATGTGGTTTTTAAGAGATACGTTTTTTTAATCTATATCATTATCGATGGTATTTCCAAATCTGTGTTATTTTCTGTGTAGATTCTGATGTGTATACAGATTCACTGTTGAAGCAGTTAACTCAGAGGGTAGGAGCAGAAGTTCTGATGTGATTTGATTGATTGGTTGGAGGATTTCATCGTGAGCTGACATCAGTTAGAGAACCATTGGAAAATCTGCCTGAGAGTACTGGGTAGCTGTTTCTCTCTAATTTGGTACGCACCCACCAACAGGGTTTGAACGCAGGACGTTCCAGTTACAAGGCGAGCTGTTAGACCATTCACTCACCAGGACACGACTCAGTGCCTAGTGAATTCTAACTTCTGCCACTTCGTGATCTTTATCGTGACCACCAGTCAGTGTCATCGCGCGCCATATCGTGAATTGTCAGAAGCTGGAATTCATGGGCCAATTAGTCGTGTCCCGGTGGTTGAATGGCATAACAGCTCACCTTGTAACTGGAACGTCCTGGGTTCAAATCCTGTTGGTGGGCGCGTACTGATGAAGATTCCCAAACCAGGGTGCAACAACTCTCCAGTACTCCCAGGTTTTCCAATGTTTTTCTAACGGATGTCAGCTCATGATAAAATCCTGTAAGAATAGAAGTTAATTCAAGCCTCTGCATTGCGTGCGCCATATTTCCTAGTCAACTTCTTTAATCGTGGTTATATTAAATGATTTATGCTTAATATGTGTGGCTGTGCGTGTGTGTAGAAGATAAATGCTTTTTTCAATGCCTTATTCATCCACAATGGTTCCAAAACATAGATCAGATCTATTAGGTAAAGAAGAAAGTTCTCACAATTGTTTATTTGTTCCATTCAGTCTCTGAACCTTGTCCTTTCGGATATTCGTCATAAACTCACCTACTTGTTTGTAATACTTAGTATCTTTATTTGTTTTTAACTCGATTTTGACTTTCCCCTTAGTTGATTGGGATGAAATGTTCGACCTCAGTCTATATATTGGCTCCTAGCACTGACGCTTCGACGAATTTTGAGGATTAACCTGAAGTGGTTTCTCGGATGGTGATTGGCAGTAGAATTGACGATACACATTTTGTCCCATTTCATGTCTCGTCAACTGGATATACCTGCACTCCCAAGTGAGTGGTGGTGTTTCCTATGGGACTCGATTCCAGTACCCATTGTTTCAAACGCCAGAGCGTTATCCCCTAGACTACTTGGTCTACGAGAGCCACCTCTTGTGGAACAGCACCCTAATGGCGTAGTTGATAACGCTTTGACGTTCGAAACGATGGGTACTGGGTTCGAGTCCCAGTGGAAACACCTTCACTGACTGCAGAGTACACGTAAATCCAACTGACGAGTCCCCAATAGGATGAAATGCACATTCTGGATTCCACTGCTAGACAATATTCACAAAATTACTTGCACTTGTTATCCTTTTCATTCTAAACAATTTCGCTGATGAGAGTGTTTCATGTACAAACCCCTTAAATCTTAGATAGTTGTTCCGTTTCATTGGAAACTATTCAACCTTTCTTTCATGACAAAGACCAAAGAATAGAAAGTATTAGACAGAAGTTGTGCTACATATCAAGGGGATGTGGAGAATATTGAATAGCTACAAAATGTGATATAGTCCACAGTTTGGGCGCAAATTATAATAAACTCTGCTTTGAACTAATTTAGCGTGCTTGCTCAGTTAATATAGCAGATGTTTTGTGCTAACTTGTATTTCTATGCCAATAGGCTAATATAAAAGTATTATGAAGGTTTATTGTTATTGTATCCTTTAATTCCTAGAGGAACATAGGGCTTCAGCCGTGCGTCTCCATTGCGTTCGGTTCTCTTCTAGAGTCTTCACCTGGCTCCATGTCTGCCCACACGTTTTCATCTCCTCTTCACATGACCTCCTCCAAGTCACCCTTGGACGACCGACTCGCCGTTTCCCTTTCGGGTTCCACTCGAGTGACAGCCTGGCATCTGATGTTACTTGATGGTTTGTTTCCTCAGAGTATGGCCAATTCATCTCCATTTCTTCCTGCCTATTTGTTTCACAATCGGTTTCTGGTTGGTTCGCTCCCAGAGATCCCTGTTGCTGATCCTTTCTGGCAACTTTATCAAAGGCATGTAATTTACCTCGAAATAAAGTATACTGCATTCATTTAAAAGCACTACAGGTGTTGCGTAACCTTTTTATGGAAAATTAAAGAAATTTACTGGTTGGTGGTCCCATTAAAATCACGAATTACTAGAAGTAAGAATTCATGGGCCATTGCGTCAGTTCCCAGTGTCTGAATAGTCAACGAGCTTGGCTTGCGACCGGAAGGTCTTCGGTTCAAACCTTGATGGGTATGTACAACCAGAGAAGCCCGTAATAGGAAGAAACAGCTGTTCGGTACTTCCTGCTTTTCGATGATTCTCCAACTGATATCAGTACGTGGTCAGATTTAAAACAAATCAAATCCCTACAGACCAAATCTTGAAAATGCATTTATATCTCAAAGGTCATTGAAACCAAATTAAATAAACTTCGAGTCATATTTGCGTTTTTTTTCTTTTCCTTCACGTTCCCCAGGGGAACATAGAGCTTCAAGCTAGTGGCTTGAAGTTTCTGTAGCAGTATTTATTTTACAGGATAGGGTTGTTGGCCTCATGCCCAACCTTTCCTCTTCACCAGCATTATTTCTGGCTTAGCAAAGTGAAGGAGTACGTCGGCCGGGGATCGAACCCCGAACCATGTGCATGGTCGGCGAGGGTCCTAACCGCTATGCCACCGACGCCCATATTTGCGTAACAGGCAAATAATTGTTTGAAAAGAATGTGATCACAATGTGCACGGGAACGCAATGAGACGATTTTCTTTAAATTAATATGAAAATAATGAAGGAAACGATTAAAAAATAAACTATGCGAATAGATGCAGTTTGATGGTAGATACAAGGGTTGAATGAACTCCAGCTTCTCCATACATATAGCGAGGCCTTCTGTAATGTGAAGACATCCAAGGTACACTGTGTTCTCTAGATTTCTGTTCAATTTGAAAATGAATACAGATGATAAGATGGTTTATTTGTTGTGCTGGCGACGTGTTCGACTTAGTACCTTTAGATGAGTAACTGTCACTTCTTTGTAGCCATGTAAGAAAGTGTTCTGTGTTTTGAAAGAACATGTAGACCTAGCTTTACAGGAGCAGATGAATTGATATTCACATATTAAAGTGACTATCTGAAGTAGTTTATCTTTAAGTTGCTTAGAAGCAGTGGACGTCTTGAGAGAAGCATACATAGGGTCATTTTCAGGTAGTTAGATATTCGTCCCTTGAAGATATCTGCAGTTAGGTGTTCCATGAGTTCCAGGTTCATATGTAGAATTTTCTTCAGCACTGAACAGTACTCTTCTTTTTTGCCATGGTTTGGTGTTTATCTCGACAAACTGTGCACGGTATCCACTTGTATCCATGACCGTTCTAATTATCAGCGGAGCCATGGCGGCCAAACCCCACATTGTGCATTTAGAAAGAAACGGTTTTTGATCTATCTTTATTGTAGTAAGTAAAACCTAATCGATATCATCTGAACGTCGGAAACCAATTCCAGCGTTCTAATGTATCGCTGTCCGAAACTTACCAAGGAGATACACAGTTACATAACTCTTTATAGACAGTGTAAAGACGATTATGCATTAACAGATCGATATAGTTCTATTCAACAATAAAAACATCAAAAACTCAAGATTACCTCAACAGTGCTATTAGGCAGCTCTTTACAGTTCAGCTAATTTTCTAAGTACAAACCAAGCACTATAGAACAAAATTATTTAACTAAAATCAACAGTAGGAAGTAACTGAGAATCAGATAGAGTATTCACAACAAGGTGGGATCAAAACTCCATCAGCCAAGAATCACACACCAAACCATTCCCCCGAACAGTTCAAAGTCAGGGTGACCTTGACCCACTCAAACAAAACAGCAGTCGTTAAGGCAACACATTATCAGTATCATCACACAACCACAAAGAGAAGTGTTCAAACTAGAGATTAGACAGTGACAAAGACAAAGTATAAGGATCAAATCAACATATGATATGCGAATGTCAAAATAACGATATATAGTCTAGAAGAAAAAAGCCTCATAATTACAAGGTTAGCTGAAAACGTTTCTTAAGGTAGTAAATTTCAAGAATAGTATATAAACTTTCCCTGAATGATAGCCATTTTGGAGTAATAATAATAATATTTTACTTTATTCCAAAAACAGTACTTATAATACAGAATGGAATTCTCAGCATTTATCACAATATTGCATCTGATTTACTCAAAGTGTATATAAAATTAAAAATTTAAAACAAAAGTTAATCGGAGAAATTTGTCCACATTAACGACATAATTATTAGATATAGTAATAATAATAATAGTAATAATAATAATAAATACTAATAACAGTGAGTTTGTTTCAAACGGTATTGTCGATTCAGTTTGGAAACTTTAGCATGTTATAGATTATTGGGTCTAATGTTCTGTTGATATGGTATAGTGAGGTGAAATACAAAATTAACAGTCATAATACAGCTTAAAATTATGTCCACACTTATGAAAATTAAAATAAACAAAACGAAAAAATTGAGAGGATTATAAATATAAGAAATACAATAACAATAAAGTATGATGCTTTAAGGTTGAAGGAAATGGTCTATTTAGTGGAGCTAAGAAGGTTAGTTAGTTCATTTCTGACACTATTTTCATCACATAGAGTACGTGCTAAATATGGTATAGTGGAATTTT